CGAGTGCAAGAACAAACATGTCAATGATTCCGGCGAAATGGATGCCCAATGATTTTATCATTCATTGTAGCGTTGCGAGATTTCCGGATTCTCCATGTGCCTCTCTCACCATTGAAAATAACAAATTCTCAACAATCTCGAATTATGTTGTGAAAATTGTGACATGGGCTCCAGTAAGACATTTCTATGGAGAGAGATTTGTTTTTAGATTTAGTGGATTGAGTGTGCCACAATCTTTTGTGAATAATACGATGATTCCTATAACTTTGCTGGATGGAACGACAGCTTTGGATACCACCGCTAGTATTGTAACTGTCTCAAATCAAGAGTTCACAATGACGATTCTGGCAAAGGAATATATCAAATCAGGACAGGTTTTGAGATTTTCATTCCAGGCAAAGAACAGTGCGCAAATTGGTGAATTTCAAACATTTATTAAGGTTGTAGATTCAAAGAAAGCTCTGGTCAATGCTTATGAAAGGCCTATTGAATTCTCAAATAAGATTACCAGAGATGGAAGTTCATATGGTTCACCAAAGCTATCGAGAAGTACAGCAGCAAGTTACGGATCGTTACAATTTGGTAGTATCTATTCTGTTGCAACAACTTTAGCATTAATCATGATGGCTCTAGTAATGGTTCTTGTAAACGAATAAAACTTACATGCAACCTAAGTGTGAAATAATGTTTGGACAAACCATATAACTCAAACTATTGATGAAACAACTATTTGTTCTTATTATCTGAAAGAAAATTTTCATTTTCATGGAGAAGGATATTGAGGCCTTCCTTTTTCCTTCTGTCCGCGACCATTGATCTGTTAGAAGTCGCAAAAAAATCATCCAACTTTGTTCGCATCTCACAAAAAAATATCTTTGACATCGTCCACCAAGGAATGTCAACCAACCACCGACGCTCTGTAGGTGCAGGAGAGGAACCGAGTCATCATCAGCGCTTAACACGTTCTCTCTTTGTGTTGGCGATCGCTTTGTGGTTGGTATTGTTGTTTGTTGATGGAATTGTCATCACGGCAACAACGATGAGAAATAACCCCACACTAACCATTTCATTCATTCCATCCACGACCTATGTGAATGATACTTCAGGAAAGCCAAAACTCTCTGTGACGATATCAAACTATCTTTCGCTCTTGCAAGCAAACTTTAGTTACCAAATATTTCAAGAAGTGGGTGGTTCTAATATTTCAATCACACCGCAATTATCAACTTCCACACTGACCGCAATTTGGGACAACATTTTTCTCCTCCAAGGTTTGAAATTGTGTTACCACCAGTGTTCACCATGGCTGGAAATTACTCGGCTCAAGTGTTAGCCAAGAAATTGAATGGTCAAAATATCAATTCATGGTCCACGAACAAAATGATCATCAAAAGCTATGACGAATTTACATCTTTTGATAACTTGAGAAAATTGTCATTGGTTGATTTGGAACAAGCATCGACAAATTCCTTACTTTATGCATTGACTTCAAAAAACAAAAATTATTGGACTCACTAACGATGGCTCTCTGTGCCATGAATCCAAATACTTCATCGCTCCATGATACCAAGTCATTGGTCAACTCATTTAAGTCTGTTTCTTCATTTAAAAAGGATTTAACACAAATGAGTGTTGGAGGAATTACTGATTTCATAAGCGATTATTCAAAAATTATGGTTTCTCTTTCGAAGAATTATGCATCCAATCAATCTTCCAATTCTGAGGTTGATTCCATAAGTAGTTATATTGATACGGTCCAAGATGTGTTGGATATTATATCAAATTGCATGACGGCATTGCAATCATATACCAATGACAAGTATAGCTCAGTAATCGAAAATATGATTTCAGTGACAGCATTGACGACAAACACGACAGACCCACATGTTTTGAAAAATGAAGCTTTCGAGGTAGTGATATTACCAGATTTGACGAATCAAACAAGTAACCAACCTCTTGCACTCAATGGAAGCATCACCATTGCAACGCCAGATTCATTAATTTCCAAAACTGCTCAATCAGGAAAGAAATTATCATTAGGAAGTGTCAAGTATTTATATAGCTCAAAGATCGTACCAAGTCAAACCGTACAATTTGAATTTAACTCGACCACAACAACAATCATTGCAGATACTTCGCAAGATTTGTTGAATACTATTCAATCTCTTTCGAACAATTTCACAAGCAATTCCACCCTATCAACCAATAATTCATCATCATCTACCCCATTTGTTCGTGTTTCCATTTCTCCAATTATATCTGTGGAATATTTACAGAATGGGTTGATTACTGCTCTCACCAATTTGTCAAAACCTATCCGAATGAACTTTCCAGCTGTCAACACTTCCATGATTTCTCAAATTGAACAATTTACGAAACCTTTCAACCTCAAATATAACTTTATATGTATGTATTGGAATGCAAACTCCTGAAGGCATGGAAATCGAATGGATGTGTCACACTTCAGAAATCGAGTGATTCAATTACATGTGAATGTGATCATACTACCAAATTCACTTCATTTATTGAGTTTTCACAAGCAACGCGTACAAACTTCTCATCAGACCCACAATTAATGGCTCAAATTATCATTTCATACATCTTTATCATTTGCATTGTAGTAATCTTTGTCGGATTGCTTATCATGTCAAATATCAAATCTTTACCAAACAACCAATTAAGAGTCGATGGATTTTCCCATACCTTTCACTGATTGCTCTCTTCATAGAAAATGCCTTTTCCAATATTGTCTCAGACTCGATTACACTTAGCATTAATAATGGAACGTCAAACATTAGTTATGATTCTGTGAATATTATCAGAGACGTGTCTGCCATGGTTGTAGTTACATTGGTCTCGTTGGCGATTTGGAATTTTGTGCTGAATCACCTTAGATACATTCTATTCAGATACATGTACGAAATTATGTTTAACGAGAGACAAGTATCTTTACAACAAGTGTCACCATTTTTGAAACTCATTTCCAGGAAGAGATTTATGATGCTTTCAAATTGTGCCATGAGTGTGTGTGTGATTGCTTATTTTGTCATTTTCATCTCATTAACAAGAACAAGTGTCATTATATCAACAACATATTCATGGATTATGAGCCTGTCATTTTTTGTGTTTGTTATGATCATGACAATATGTTTAATTGGAATTTATTTGTTTGATATCTATATGGAATTCAAGTATAAGCAAATATCGAGTGAAATGCAAAATGTTGGAAAGGATGTCTTATCTAATGCAACTTCACAAACATCCAAATTAGAAAATTTCGTACAAGGAATCACAAAATCATTTCCTAAAACTGGTGTAAAAGGTGTTCAAGTGAATTTGAATTTCTATTCAACTTCATCTTTCCTACGAAGATTGCAACATTTCTTTTCTACCAATGACAGATTATTCTTTAGATTAGAGGCTGTCATATTTTTCACATCGATTGTGTTCTATATTGTTGCTTATGCATTAGGTTTTTCTGTTCTATCAAACTCCTCAACAAGCTCAATCACAAGCACTTATTCACAAATAACTACCTCCGATGATATGAACACAATTCTCCAATTGGCGTTCAATTTGGTTTTTCAAACATTATTTGAAGCTGGATTTATCATTTCATTTGGTGGATTGGTATTTATTGGTGCATTTATTAAGAACTCCAAGAATGTATCAACAAGAGACGCATCATCTTCAACAACTATGAACATGGATCAGAATGAACAGGATGATGTTTCTAAGCTTTTGAAAAATCCAAGCGCCAAAAAGTATTTGAACAATTTTGTAAATTAGAATTCTCGTTAGAGAATGTGATTATGTGGAGCAAAGTCGAAAAGTTGAAAGATTTACTGAAAACACATGCAGACCGTGATCTCTATCAAAAGATTATCGAAGAATTGGAAGATTGGAACGAATGTCACTTTTCATCAAGTTCTCGTTTTGAGATTAATTTTTCTTCACAAACAAGAGAAAAGTTTGAAAAAGTGAGAAAAGAATTGAATGCTCATCATCATGGCCAATCCTCAGATGAATTATTGAAACAAGTTTCAGACTTTGCTCAAAGTGCAAACTTGGAACTACTTCTGAATCTCAATGACACCTATTCGAGATTTATTCTCACTTCTGAATACAAAGCACTCTCAAGTATTGAAGAGATTGTCACCGAGTTGAACGAGAATAATAAATTCCAGTAGTGATCGATCACTCTTTTTTGAACCCAATATGTGAAAGTGTCAACGAGAGTTGCTTTTTTACAATCATCATAAAAAATGAGCAACCTTTTACTGTTCTTTCCGCTTGTTGTGATGACCATCATGATTTCATCATCAACCAATGCGATGGAAATGATGGAAGGGGACCAAAAATCAAACAATATATTATTCTCAAAAGTTCAATCATTGTTGGAATGTATCGGAATACATGACAAATGCTAGAAGTTTTTTAAGAGAGATTGGAAATGAGCAATGGATACCTGATGACTTTGGATGTTCAAATATTTCGTTATGGACGAATTATGGAATTCAGCCTGTTTTAGTGAGATCGGGTGAAGTTGTGTGGTATTATAGTTTTGTGGTTTTTGAGAATATTGGAAAGAGCTATGATGTTTGCACGAAAGTGAGAAGATGGAAAGAATCTCTGCAATTATCATGTGATGCTCTGTTTTGTGACTTTAATGGAACTACAGACTTGGTAACGTTTATTGAAAGAGAGACAAATTTTTCAACAACAATATACGATTGGATCAATTATTGTCAATATTGTACGAATGATAGAACCCTGAGATCCTACAAACAACAGAATTCATACAGTCCAAGTAACTTGAAAACATGTATTTCAAAAGATGAAAAAGTGAGTGAAATGCTGAATCAATTTCCGAGCTCAATAACGTACTGTGGAAACTACCAATTTGGAATACCGTTCATCGTTAACAGTACTGCCATCGAACCGAATGTATTACTCGGACACTACTCGTACATTTGTTATTGTATAGATGGCGATTATTTTGCGCTCAAGTGTGAAAATAATCCCTCTAATTTTGCAGCAAGACAAGCCATTGGCGCTGTGAACTGTATTCTTCATGGACTTTCACTGCTCTTGGCCTTTTTTCAACATTTATTCCAAAAATTAGGACATGTATCAAGCGAAAGAAAATACTCAACGGAGTGACGATATCAAGTGTGGTATTAAGCGAGTTTGTACTAACTTTGCAGGTATATTTGAAGTCGCCTACGCAACAAGTACTACATCTACCGTCATTGGTAATATGGGAATTGCTATGGTTTTTGCAAGTCTCTTTACGTGGGTGTTGAGATGGGTATCATTGGTGTTGCTTATCAAGACCAAACGTACCAGAATGGTCATAATACTATACAGTCTATTAGCAATTTTGTTCATTTTGGTTGGAATTGCTCTGCCAATTGTCATGACAATACTTGGAGACTTGAAATCGATTGTTCACTTTTTCTCCTACTACTCAGCTGCAATGTCTGCAGGGACTGTATTCTTATTCGTCATTTCATCAGCATGGATTTATTGGGCAATGAAGCAAATTTCAGATGTGGACATTTTCAACTCTTCCGTAAGTAACTGTTTTCGTTGTGACTCAATTATTTACTTTTTGGCCATATCGAATTCTCTAATAGTTTTTGAAATTTGTAGGGTTGTTTGCCGTGTCTTGTTTCCTATTTTCTTTCTGTTATATGGTTATATCGACAGTACCAGGTGGTTTTTCAATGGATTAATTGCTGGTGTTATTAACATTGCCATTCATTCTTCGCTTGTCGCCATCTCAAACGGGTTAACGTACTCTGAATTTGATAAGGAAGATTTTTATGAATGCTTGAATTATTTAATTTGCAGAAAAGCCAAACATGAAAAAGGACAAATAGAGAGCACACCAATGTCAGCAAATTCTGATCCAAATTCTTCCTATTACTCACAATTATTAACCTCTGAACATGAAAAATAATCTGTCTGATTTCAAGTGCAAATCACTACTAGTATAAGTTAATCAATGGCAACAGAAGACAGGTGTAGAGATTCATTGGATAGAATAAGGATTTCATCAAAACTTCTTTTTCTTCATCATAGTATGATAGCTCAATAGAGCAGTTCCCAAATGATGCCCTTCATACTTGGATTTGTCATTTAACACCTTCAAAATATTGAGAATACGATTAGTTGATTCAGCATCTTCAGGGTGTTTTTCTAAGTGTGTTGTAAGAATTTTTGAGATTCCATGATTTCTTTCCAAAAATGATACTATCTGGACATGGAAGACAAATTACGATCTTCAAATATTGAAAAGGCGGCTTCAAAGTCTTTGAATCTACTGTTAGTCTTTTGCTGTTCTAGCTCATACATCCATTCTATGCACAAGGGTACGTTAGAACAATGACTTTGTTGCTTGACTCACTTACCGTCTCTTTCAAAATTGTTTTCTTTCATGACTTCATAAATGGAAGAAACAGAGCCATGGAAGGTTTCATTCTCAATTAACAACCTCTCCACTGGTCTCACCACGAATGCGCTTTTTCCTTCAGCACAGACAGAATTTGAATCTGCTAAAATATGACACTTTCGAGCGTGACACAACGACGCGAGTTTCTTTGAATTTTCAATCAATGGACCCACAATACTGTAAACTCTCATTTGATTTGTTCCTAGATTTCCAATATTAGTCTTTCCAGTCGCAATACCAATACAAATATACGCTTTTCCGAAATTCTTCAAAGCACTTTCGAGAGTCTTTGCAATTTTCAGAGATGCATCCATGGCTGCCAGGTTGGGCTTTCTCTTGCCTTGTGTGAATGAGAGCCGATATTCATCAACGCCAAGCACTTGAACATCAGCTTGCATGGACTTGGAAACCACACTTAATCCATTGGCAATTTTGCAAAAACATGAGAGATTTCCGAGACTGTCACGCTTTTAAACATGTCCACAATTCGGATCGTCACAACACTCACTTCCTTTTCGATCAATCCTAATTTGAATAAATTACCATGAGGATCTAATTTCTTATTAATAAGACTGCTGCCATTACGAGATGAGAATGAAAATCCGTGACTACTTAATCCTACCATAGTGTGCTGCTCATTATGGACTGCTATTTTAGAATTCGATTCATGCAAGGTATTTGATTTGCGAGGGTCAATGATATTTTGCTCCTCTTCCTCCATGTTTCTCAACTGATTAAATATTGCCTCTGGTAAGAAGCTTTTGAATTCATTAAGCCACGCAACCATGTCATGAAGATCTTCATAAATCGAGTCAATCTCTTTAAATCTTGACGACGTGAAGCTCATTTTGTCGAGATCGAATTTCTTAATTTTCATAAACTGGTTTTTCAAATACCTTAATGGATGAGTAATTAAGTAGCCAATAACAATACTCATTAGTAGACCTATGAAAATGACAACAGTAGCAATAGCTATTGATATACCAGTATTGATCGTAGAAGTTTTAGTGACGTCCTCCATATAAATCACCATATAAACATTCCAACTCAAATTTTCAAGCTCAAAGTTCATGCGATAAATTAAATAATCGACACCCATACTATTGATTTGAAAACTGTCTGGGGTATTAGATAGTGCTCCGTATTTGTTTGCAATATCTTTCATAAGAATTCCTGCATTTCTATCTGTCAACTCAAACAAGGAGACACGAGATATCTTGTTCAGAGCGGTTGTGTTAATAGAACCTCCAATAACCATGCCAGAGGATTCTGAGACCAGGACATAACCATTTCCAAGAAGCTTCAATGACGAAAGGAACCGTTCAATTGAGAGTAAAGAAATATTGACTTTGGAAATACCAACCACGCTTTTAGTCTTATTGGCAGCGTATAAAACAGGATCAAATAACTTGGCAGAATAATACATCACTGAGGTGCTATTGGTAACTATTAATTTGACATGTGACATTCAAAGGTGGCGAAAGTTTCAAGCATGTCACAATTACAAAAAGTGTTACACTCTTACACTTACCAATATAAGTATCCCCATACACTCCATCTCTTTGATACAAATCAAAATATTTCATACTTGTGACATAGTAGTCTCTTTGTGACACAATGAATGGTGTCGTCTGATTACTAAAAATAGAGACCTTGGATCCATCAGTCTCATTAGCATACCACACCTCTACTCCAATCATACCTTCTGGTTTATAATACATGATGAATTGTTGGTTTGAAACGCCATTTTTAAAATATGTCAAATTCGTGTATGAATAGAATTCATTTGGAAAATAGACACCAAATCCTGAGAAGCGATAAATTTCATTCTTCGTCCACAAATAATTCAGAGCTCTTCTTCCAATAACACCACTGTTGAAATCTTCTGCAATCGTTTTAGCCAATCCTGAAATGGGTGAAATTTCTCCTTTCAAGTACACAATAATCTTATTTCCAACTTGAGAAATTAAGGAATTTGACAGCTCTGTAAATGTTTGATTGGAACCAATAAATGAAGCTAACCAAATCAACACTGAACATGTCACCAGTAAAGCAATGATCATTAAAATAATGACCACTCTCAATGAAAACCATCCTTCAAGAGCAACAGGTTTCTTATCCAAAATATTTCCAGAATTGTTGGGTGTTTGAAGCAATTCTTGATTTACAGAGTCGGTGGATGAGGTGGTAGAGACTGTGGGAACAATCTTTCTCGTCATGATCTTTTACAATTTTTTTGTATTTCGTTGTTGAAATCGAAGAGTCTAATGGAGAGAAGTTTTACATTTCGGCAGCTCCCGAAAGAGATACATCTCTAGCGACAGGTTTGTATTTGATTTCTAGGAATTGTAAATTATTACATTTTTTCTTTTGGCCACTTGATGGCCATGTTTGACAAGAGAGAGATTCAACGCGTTGACTACTTCATTGTCTCACTTTGTCCATTCACAGAACTCATTCACCGGAGGTGCCTCACATCATTCTTATCCTCTCACGAAAGCACATTTTTTTCATAATCCTATTGGTTGGTTATTATAATCGCGCACATTTGATCATCAAGTCTGTATTCAAGATTCAAAAGAACGAGCTGAAAGTGGGCAAACTCTCTCAAATCATCATCCTTACAAAAAATGTCCAAACTCTTCCTCTGTTCCGTCTTGTTGGTGTTCTTTGCGGCTTGTTGTGTGCTCGCTGCTGATTCAGAGTCGTTGCTTTCTAACGGAGCTACTTTGGTCGTAAACACGGATTCTTTGAATGTCCGAAGTGGACCATGTACCAACCAAGGAGTGATTACAAGCCTTTCACTAGGTACTTCAGTAACTTATATTGGTGAAACTGCGAGCGGATGTGGTTATTCTTGGCATAAAATTAGAGGCAGCTTTGGAGTTGGTTATGCTGCTTCTCAATATTTGAATGAACAGTCAAACAATGGTGGTTCTTCTGGTGCTAGCATTACTGTGGATCAATTGAAGGCTTGTATGCCTGGATTGTCTGCAAGCAAGGCTAATATTTATATCAATTATTTGAATGATGCTTTGAGAACTGGTAACATCAACACTTGTTGCAGAAAGAGTGCTTTCTTGGGTAAGTTTTTTGGTGTGGATCTTGAAAGACTGTGAATTGACAAACGCTGTCAACTAATTTCCATTTTTGGTCAACTCACTGGCGTCAACGAAAATCAGCCCAACTTGCTCACGAGTCTGGAGATCTCAACTGGTGGGTTGAATTCGCTTCTGGTGCTGCTTATGAAGGAAGAAAGGATCTCGGAAACATCTATCCTGGCGATGGTGTCAGAGTAAGTAGTGATGAATTATATATAACATTCACAATACATCGTTTGTATTCACACAACAAATGCTTGAACTCAACCATTTGAACCTCATTATGAACAGTATAAGGGAAGAGGCCCAATTCAAATCACTGGTAGAGCTAACTACAGAGCTGCTGGTCAAGCCATTGGTGTTGATTTGGAAAATAATCCAACCAGAGCTGCTGACACTGATGTTGGTTTTAGAACTGCTGTCTGGTTCTGGAATTCTCGTTCATTGAACCAATATGCTGATCATTGTGATCAAGCTAACTTTGATATCATCACAAGAAGAATCAACGGAGGATACAATGGTAAGGCTGACAGAGATGCCAAGTGGAGACGTGCTAGAAGTGTTTTGGGTTGTTAAACTTTTGTTCATGTTGCTTTATTTATTGTATTTTTACCCATAAACTTCAAATTGTTCTACAATTAATTGAAAAAGGTGTTTAGTTTCTTGATGATTGTTAGTGTATTGAAGCAAAACAATAATCTGCGTACGGTGAATCCAACTCATCTATCAGGATTTGTGCGATTTCATTTGTTTAAATCACCCTTAATCTGTCGATAAAACCAGATCGTGATAATAGCATTTTCCATTGTCACTAATCATTACTAAGTTTCTGTAAAGTGACATCGTTTCATGAATGAGGACTTTTTCTGAAACCAAATAGGCTTTCCTCCATTTCTCAATTACAAAAATCAGAAAAATCTTGATTACTATAACCGCTAGGGCAAATCAAACTTCTGAAGTCGCACTTTTAGCACAATCATTGAACATACGTTCGGGACCATGTACCAATAAACGAGTATTGGCTTCTCTCACGCAAGGCAAACAAGTCACTTACACTGGTAAAACAGTGAGAGGATGTGGTTATTTGTGGCATTCTGTCAGAGGTGCTTTCGGTTTGGGATATGCTGCTACTCAATTCTTGTCCGAGAAGAGATCCTCAAAAACAATCACCAAGCAAACCAAGTGGACCATCCAGTCCAAAGCCAACTGCTGGTGGTTTGACTGCTGCTCAATTAATGAGATGCATGCCAAATTTGAGAACAAGCAAAGCTGTTACTTATATCCCATATTTGAATGCTGCTATGAAGAGTGGAAATATCAACACTTGCTGCAGAAGAAGTGCTTTCTTGGGTAAGTGTTCCAGCATGATCTTACGTGACAGTGTCGAACTCCTTCGATATGTTATGATATATTTTCTGTCAATGCTGTTGACATGGTCATGATAACAACCATCAAATCGTCAAATTCAAACATAATACCATACATCATGAATAGCTCAATTGGCTCACGAAAGTGGTGATCTAAACTGGTGGGTTGAATTTGCTAGCGGAAGAGAATATGAAGGAAGAAGAGATCTCGGCAATATTTACCCAGGCGATGGTGTTAGAGTAAGTATCTATCACCTCTTTCAATACGGTAATATCAAATACTATTCTTCTACTGAACGAATTTTAAATTAATGAAATAACAAAATCTCACAACAAAAACAACAACAGTATAAGGGAAGAGGCCCAA